AATTCTGCTTCATTGAAGGGTCACAGAAGCATGTAGTCTCTGTTACCCTTAATGGAAGGCGTTTGAAACAACCAGGACTCTTCCTAGAGCTGGCCTCCTGGCCAAACTGAGCAATTGATGGAGAAGGGCTTTGGTTAGCATGGTGACCAAGAAGCTGATGGTAACCTACAGGACAAACATCGCTGCAACACTCCACTGATCTGGGCTTTATGGCGGTGTGGCCAAACTCAATCCTCTCTTCAGTTAAGACACATGAAAACACACTTGGAATTTACAAAAAAGCACCTAAAGGACCCTCCGACTCTGAGAAACAAGACTCTCTGGTCTGATGAACCTCAATTCTAAGCATCATGTTTGAAGGAAACCAGCTCCGCTCATCACCTGCAGAGTACCATCCCAAAAGTAAAGTGTGCTGGCAGCAGCCTCATGCTGTGGGGCTGTTTTTCAGCAGCAGCGACCGAGGGACTCGTCAGAGTAGAACTAAAGCTCAGTGCACCAAAATATTGAGATAGCCTTAATGAAAACCTAGTACAGAGCATTCAGAACCTCAGACTGAGCAGAAGGTTCACCTTCCAACAGGACAATGAACCTAAGCACACCGCAAGAGTGGCTTATAGACAACTGTGTGAATGTCCTTGAGTGGCCCAGCCAGAGCCTGAGCTTGAACCCAATCAAATATTTCTGGAGAAACCTGAAAATGTGCATCTGCCCCCATCCAACCTGACAGAGCTTGAGAGGTGAACGGGTGAGGTGAAGAATGGCAGATAATTGCCAAATGCTGATGATCAAAGCTTGTCGCATCAAACAAAAAAGATTTGAGGCTGTTAAGGTGCTTCAGCTAAATATTTAGTTACTTACGCAATGTACTTATTTCAGTTTTTTATGTTTACGAAGTTGTGACAATTCTGTTAATGCTTTGTCAATATGGTGTATGGAGTGTAGATTGATGTGGGAAAAAAGTACATTTAAGCAGTTTAACATAAGGCAGCAACATAACGTGAAAAAAATGAAGGGGTATGAATACTTTCGCAAGGCCCTGTATATATATATATATATATATATATATACAGGTGCATCTCAATAAATTAGAATGTCGTGGAATAAACTTCCTGATTATAAGGTACAACATTCATTCGTCTAAATGCTGGCAGAAATTTTCATTTTCAAAAACGGTGCAGATAATACGATTTTGCACACACAAAAAAAACATGAGGATATGGTGAGAATGTATAAGTAAACCAAACATTAACATTGTTTTAAGAAGTACTATTTTGATACATTTATTCTGCATTCTATTTTAATCATTTAAATATATATTTTTATTTTGACAGCCGTACCCAATGTACCCAGCTACTACATCACTTGTGAATGTCGTCCCGAAACTTAGCAGCACTGGCAGAGACCTACTACAGGTGAAGTATTTTCATTGTGTTAACAATGAGTTCATGATTTTATGCTTTAGCTGGATTTTTCTGTGTTTGTCCTGTGCAGAATCTTCTGAAATGCAATCCAGTTCAGCGAATTTCAGCAGAGGAAGCCCTACAGCACCCTTACTTTGCCGATTTCTGCCCACCCTAAATGTCAGATCCCCTTGACATCATTTAGGAACACAGATGGGCCAGTCTTACCTCGTGAAACCCCTTCAACACCTCCAGCGTTCAGTTATCTTTCAGTTTGAGTTTGGATCACACCTGCTATAGCAGGATAGAGGGACCCTGAAACACTCCTCCCTCTACATGTTTTGGTAATAATGATATGATTATGATCGTGACTCTGTCTAATGCAGAGTGTGGTGCTGTTGTCCTGCATAAACCATGTATTCGACTAGAGTCTCCAAAAATAGTTTTATTACATTATGTGGTCTTAAAGGGATAGTTCACCCAAAAATAAAAATTCTGTCATCTACTCACCCTGATGTTGTTCCAAACCTGAATGAGCTGTTGAACATAAAAGAAGATATTTTGAAGAATGTTCGTAACCAAACAGTTGACGGTAGCCATTGACTTACATGGTATTTTTTTTTCCATACTATGGAAGTCAGTGGTTGCTATCAACTGTTTGGTTGCCAACAGTTGAAGCAGACAGAATTTTCATTTTTGGGTGAACTGTCTCTTTAAAGGAACAGTTCACTTAAAAATTAAACTTACGCACATATAAATAAGTTGCGTGAAATTCTTCAGCATACAGGTGAAAAGAATTGAGGTTGACCGGTAAATGTTGACCGGATTTTCATTTTTGAGTGAACTATTGTTTAAACTTTAAAAATGCTGATCATCACTTGTACACTCTAAAAAATGCTGGGTTAAACACAACCCAGTGCTGGGTAAAATAGGGACAAACCCAGCAATTGGGCTGTTTTGACCCAGTGGTTGGGTTAAATGTTTAACTGGGTCAAAACAACCCAATTGCTAGGTTTGTCCCTATTTTACCCAGCACTGGGTTATATTTAACCCAGCATTTTTTAGAGTGTAGTTACCAAAATTTCAGTAGTCCTGGCCCTACATGATTCATTTAGTTGCCAAATTCATAGATCTTTAATGGTTTACAAAATGCTGCCGTGAAGACTACTAAAAGCAGCATTTTTTTTTTTATTTGTCAAAGATCAAATGAACAGTATAATTGAATAAGGTACAGCGCACATACTTGATTTAACTTGTTACAATATGTAGTATTTAAAAAAAGTTACTTTTACACTTATGTTTTGTGTTGTGCATTCAGCAAGGGTATGGAAATAAGTGTAGAGTTGTGCGACTGTCATTTTGCCATTTTGTATGAATGAGATTTTAGCAGTAATTTTAAGCAATTCTGTAACTGTTTTCAATTTAGTTTTTGTTCCTCCCCCCTCCCCCCCAACTTAAACTTCAGTTAAATTGCTGATAATTTACTCATCCTCAGGCCATCCAAAATGTAGTTGAGTTTGTTTTTTCATCGGTACACATTTGGATAAATTTACCATTATATCATTTGCTCACCAATGGATCCTCTGCAGTGAATGGGTGCCGTCAAAATGAGAATCCAAACAGCTGATAAAAACATCACAATAATCCACAAGTAATCCAAAATAATTTGTATCTGTCAAGACATTTTTAACTTCAAACTGTTGTTTCCAGCTAAAATACCAGTCCATGATCCATAGTAACACTTCCTGCAGTGAAAAAGTTGTCTCCTCTGTATCAAAAGAGATGGACTTTTTCCACTGGAAAAAGTGTTGTTGTGTATTATGGATGAGTATTTCAATGAAGCAACGGTTTGAATTTAAAAATGTTTTAATCATGGATTTGTCTCTTACATATTTTTCCTTCTGAAGATGTTAATTGATGGACTGGAGTCGTATGGATTACTTGTGGATTATTGTGATGTTTTTATCAGCTGTTTGGACTCTTATTCTGACGGCACCCATTCACTGCAGAGGATCCATTGGTGAGCAAGTCATGTAATGCTAAATTTCTCCAAATCTGTTCCCATGTAGAAACAAAGTCATCTACATCTTGGATGGCCTGAGGGTGTGTAAATTATCATTTTTGGGGTGAACTATTACTATTTAAAAAAACTTATTTTGTATAGTGGACCACAATATTTGCCTTCAACAGCCTGAGCAATAGATATGTGTAAAAGAGCAATGTTTTCGTAAGGCCTCCATTACAATGTCATTTAGTTCAAGTTTAATAACAGACTTTGTGCACACTTTAGACAGTCACTTACAAATGCACACAGCAAGCTGTAACCACTCAAGCAGTACAAAGGTTACTCACATCTTTAAACTGAACTGATCCAAGATGCCCGAGTTCATTGATGCAACTGAGCCGATTCAGTTAAAAAAAAAACAGCTGCACGAGACACATCTCCTCACTATGAAATAAAGAACTCATTCTGGATAGTTTGGAGGAACAGAAACAGCAGCAGCAGTGATTGTCTGGTTTTTGTAAGTCAGTCAATTAAATGTCTGTCTGTGAGATCAATAGTGTTCTCGTGTGGCCTCGGGATCAATATTGACACCACTAGTGCAGCTGGGCCATCCAGACCAAATTATGATGAACAACCCTGCAGCACAGCACACGTTTAGATATGGGGCATCTACATACATGTATACATAAATGTTATACCAGAAGCCAAACGTTCTCACAGCCACATTTCAAGAACATTTATTGCATATTACTGCATTGTCTGTGTTTTAATCCTTTAATGGCCCCTCGTGCGTGGAACTGTCATTAATCAGTGTAAAATGTCATAATGGGCCACAATTCTAAAATGGATGGCATTTAGTGCATCTGGAGGAAATAATCCATTAATCTGCATTTCAGAGATAATAGATGAAAATGACAGACTTATGAATATAGACTGGAAACATTTGAGGTGACTAAACAAAGCACTGCAGATGTATGTCTCAGTGCATGATTATGACGGTCACCAAATCACAACATTTACAGTGCAATTAAGCATGCACTACTTTAACCCCCTCGCTCTCTAGCCATTAAAATAATAGGTCAATACCATTGTCAATACAGTGGGTACGGAAAGTATTCAGACCCCCTTAAATTTTTCACTCTTTGTTATATTGCAGCCATTTGCTAAAATCATTTAAGTTAATTTTTTTCCCTCATTAATGTACACACAGCACCCCATATTGACAGAAAAACACAGAATTGTTGTTAATGAGGAAAAAAATTAACTTAAATGATTTTAGCAAATGGCTGCAATATAACAAAGAGTGAAAAATGTAAGGGGGTCTGAATACTTTCCGTACCCACTGTATACAGCAATATGTATCACCCTTTTTATATAGCAAGAGTTCATGGTGATGATGTCCATACAAATAAAGGTTTACATAATTACATTACAAAAAAGAAATACAGAAAATAATATAATAATACAAATATTCATATTTTTATTTATTTAATATTTATAATTCTTATTCTATTTTTAATTGTTAATTATATCAATAATCATTTGTAAACATTTAAGTGACAAAATCATGGAAAACCAATATTTACTATGGTTATGTATAAATATTGATATAGATTTCTAAAAATGCATATAAATATACTGAATATATATGAATAAATATATTCATATAAAAGTCATAAAACTTCATAAACATAGCCTACTGTAAATGTTGTGATATTTATATAAATTATTAATATAGTATTGCTTGCTTGATTGGTTTGTAGTGTAAGATAAATAATGTTTCTTTAACTGTGTAGTCAATAACTAAAACTAAAAACCTTTTAAAACACTATATATAAATATGTGTACTTATTTGGGGCAACATTTCTCATTTTAAAGTTAATAAAAAAAATAGATATAAAATGGCAAAAACAACAAAATGACTCAAACTTTAACCAAAATTTATACAAATAAAAATTTATAAAACTATAAATACTTAAAAACATAAAAATGACAAAAACAACAAATTAATCAAATTTAAGCTAACGTTAAAAATAGCACATTCAAAATATTAGTAAGACTATAATAGTATATCAGTGCTAGTCAAATAACGCTGCTGTGCAAACATCAACTGGAAAATGAATTAATTAACTATTATTAGCCTAATAAACCCAAACTCGTTCCCACCACACGCCACTGATTGAGTCATATACGACCGCCACATGGAAATCAACTGCATCCTAATAATGACCCAACTGTAGGCTTGCAGATTTTTAGGGGTCCTGCGTTTCCTCCGGGAATTGGGGGAGGAGGTGGTTCCGGAGTCACGTGACTGCAACCCATCCGTGCCGACCCTTTGTTGTTGGGATTTTGGGCAAGAAGGAGAATCGCGATATTGCCCCGACGCGAAAGGATAGCAAAGACACCCGAGGACGAACGATTTCTAAAGGACGTTAAACCGTCCATACGCGTCGCCTTTTCCTCACAACTAGCAAAACAGACGCGCTTGAGATGCACACAAAGACAGAGCGAGAGGCGTCCGCGAGCTGTTATTGAGGCGCTCCAGCTCAACAGCGAATCCCCGCACGCTTGTTTTTAACCGGAGGGATGCTCATAAGGCTCCGTCGGCCTTCCTGGGACACAAACACGTTTTAAAAGGGATATTGTCCGCATCCTCCACAGCCTGCTCCTCTTTTGTTCCCCAGCACCTTTATTTAACAGGTCAAGGAGGAGATACTGAGACATCATGTTGGTGGGCACCGGGCTTGTAAGCTGGACCCGACCAGAACTGTCTGTGTTCTGCCTGCTGACCGTCATCCTCAGTCCAGCGCTGGGATCCGTTCAATCATCCAACCCGCAGAACACTGACTGCGTGTCCGGCAAAGGCTGCTTAGGTATGCGTTCACTATTTAATATGTTGCATGAAAACCAAAGCATGCTCACTTTGTATCTTTGTTGCAGATATTGCACATTTGTTGAAGATGGAGATTCAAGCATGGCCTCTGGAGGCTTAGGAGATGCAGGCAGTGTAGGGATGCTAAAATGAAACTACCAATGTGCTCCTGTCAAATAAACTGATGCATGGGGCTGTTTTGAATTGCGTGCATGTATTACCTCGCCTTTGAATGGTTTTGCATGGGCGGAAGTGAAGCATCCATCGTTTGGTGCACCAGATCAGGTGAGACAATATAAAGGGAAGCATGAACCCCACCCTATAACATCACTCTCATCAGATCAGGGGTGACCACAAATTCTCTCTTCAGCTAAGGAAAGTGCTTTCTATAAATGAGATTCTGTGTTTTTTTATAGCTTTGTGTGTGGTTGTTCTTTTATGCACAAGGATAGGCCAATTATTATGTTTTAAGCCACATGCATGTGGCTTGGGAAGGCAACAGTGAGCCCCGCTGTCCGTACTGTCCTGTATGGCAACCGATGAGGGGGCTTTCAGGCTCGAGGCCTGTTTGAAAAGGTGTTGTGGTCTTATTTACTGTTCTGTATGTCC